AAAAAAAAAAGAGAAATATGGTCTCAGCCTGAGTCCTGCCTTAGTCTGATCCAGTGGGGGCTCAGGAGTGTGAACTGCATCACAGAAGTTGTCCACCGAGCAGCAAGGGACCAAGGCTTTTATTCTCCTAGATCTTTCAGTTGCTGGGCATGGGTCACCCCCTTCCCAGAATAACCTGCCAGACATCTCCAGGAAGGTAGCTCCTTTCAGCCCAGGCCAGTCCTCTGGAGAAGTCTATGGCCACAAGCCCTTTGTAGCCCACACCTGCAGCAGTGGGTGAGGCAGCCCTTGAAAAGAAGATCTGGGTAGGACCCCAGTAGCACCTGCTTGCAGCATATGAAGACCCATCCAGATGTGGGCCCCACACGAGCAGTGAGTGCTTGGACTAACCCCTCAAAATTCAAGCAGGGGGCTAAAGTGTTTCTCACTGTTTTGTTTCCCCCCTCTGCCGATGCTAAGAATAGATGTTACAGGCACAAATAACTTTGGAAGTACATTCATATCTTCTGTTAGGCATAATTTTTTGGCAGTGAAAATTTTCCTGTAACCCTAATTATGGCATACGTGAGGTATGTGGCATTATTTATGAAACTTACTAGTCTAACTTTAAATTTCACTGTCTATTGATCCTATAGAATATGATGCCACCAGTGTAAATAAGAGCCTGGAAATTTTTACTTTTTTTTTTAATGTTCATTTATTTTTTTTGAGAGAGAGAGAGAGTATGTGTGTGCATGTGTGCATGTGAGTGGGGAAGAGACAGAGGGGCAGAGAAAGAAGGAGGGAGAGAATCCCAACCACACTCTACACTCATCGCAGAGCATGACATGGGGCTTGATCCCATGACCCTGGGATCATGACCTGAGCTGAAATCAGGAGTTGGGACACTCAACCCACTGAGCCACCCAGGAAGCCCTGGAAAATTTGACTCTTATGTTAAATATTTTCCTTCCCTTCCCTTCCCTTCCCTTCCCTTCCCTTCCCTTCCCTTCCCTTTCATGTTTAATTAGCTCAATATCAAAAGCTCAATTATTAGCTCAATAAATCAAAAATTTCTAAAATTCTATACAGAAAACAAGTAAATAACCATAGGTATGCTCAAAAATGTATTTACATATATTCACTGAAGGTCTGTTTAAATAGTGGAGCACTTCAAATATCCAATAATAGGGGACTGGAGGGGCGCCTGGGTGGCACAGTCGGTTAAGCGTCCGACTTCAGCCTGGTCACGATCTCGCGGTCCGTGAGTTCGAGCCCCGCGTCGGGCTCTGGGCTGATGGCTCAGAGCCTGGAGCATGTTTCCGATTCTGTGTCTCCCTCTCTCTCTGCCCCTCCCCCGTTCATGCTCTGTCTCTCTCTGTCCCAAAAATAAATAAACGTTGAAAAAAAAATTAAAAAAAAAATAGGGGACTGGAAAAATAAATTATGATATGGCTATATGACAGAAGACTATGATGAAGTCATTAAAGGTTATGTCGTACGCAGTATGTGAAAATAAAAAGTTGAAACACAGATTGTGAATATTGTCCCATTTTATGAAAAAGTAACAGTTGTGCATAAAAAGACTAGGTACATATACACTCCATATATACAGTGTTAAGTCTGGGTGGTTTAGGTGTTTGATTTATAGGTAATATCTTTGGGATTTTTCTTTTATCATTTTTAATTTAAAATTTTTTCTATGAGAAACCCAGGTTTCTTTTGGAATAAGAAAAAATCAATTTAATAAATAATATTAACTTTAATGGACTTGGTATTATAGTTATCCAAACAATTTTCAAAATGCTTTTCCCATTCTGATAGTTCTCCCTCCATTTTTTCCCATCTTTTTCCATGAATTTATCCTCTGAATATTCAAGTGAAATGTAAAAAGAGCTCATTTCCTTCACTCTGTTTAATATTGGTATCATTTCAATCATTAAATCATATTTCACTTTTTTAAAAATTAAAGGGTTGTTAGTCTACATAGAGGCCTTATATTTTTATATTTCACTTCTAATATTTATAGAACTTCCTTAATTATTCTTTGCATTGTGACATCTAATTTAGAAAAATATACCAATTATTTGGAAATATAATATATAAGTATAAAATGAAATAATAATACTAAATATTTTATGGCCAATACTATGCACCAAGTATTTGTATTAAGTACTTTATGTATTCTAAGAAGTCACAAAAGCACTTTGAAAATCCTGCACTTTAAAGACAAAAGAAAATACTAAATGACTTGATGATCATCTTCTTTTCTAAGTGCTTTAATCACCTTTAATCAATATGAAATCAGTTAGAAACTTTCACCTGAAATGGCAAGATGTGGACTTTTCAGTGTAGTCAAAATATGATGCTGGTGTTGGCCACAGAATACCAGAAGAGAATGAAATATGAACAGTCAATCATGTAGATGTTTTATGAGTTAATGCTGAGCTCCATCAAAGTGGTTTTCCAATGTGCTATTTTCTTCTCCTGAGGTGTGATGTTACATAAGCAAAGCCAGCCAGTGGGTGTGGAAATCATGCTTAATGCCATGCATAAGATTAGAACACTCTCTCACCTCTTTCTTTACTTCTTCTTCATCTTCCAGTGTCAGAGCAGCCAGTTGCTTTGCTCTCTGCTCCATCAGATTCACATATCGTATTGGATTTGACAAAGCTTCAATCACATCTAAATACGGAAGAGACATTTTAGGATCAAAGGTCCTAGATATATTGATTATCCACCATTCATTCATCCATCCAGTCATCCATCCATCTATCCTACCTACCATCCATCCATTTACTCATCCATCCATGCATTCATTCATCCTGTCTACTCACCCACCCATCCACTGATTCATCATCGATCTTCCACTATTCCATCTAACCATGTAACTACCCACTCACCCATCCAATATTTTGGAAATGGACAAGAGTCAAGACTCTTTGCTACAACCTCAGGAAGATAAAACTCAAAGGAGTTCAGCTCTGACAACCAAACTGGACAGACCCCAACCTGGGATGCCTCAATGCTCTGTATTTTTTTTTTTTTTTTTTCTTGAGAGGTCCATCCATTCCAGCAATGGCCCACACACTTGTCTTATTTGGCCCAAATAGGTCTTTCATAAATGAAGACCTTTCACATAAAAAACCTGTTTTCCAGACTGTTGAAACAATCCAAATGTTTGGCAGTACGAGACTCATTCACATGTGATTCTGTCTACCTGGAGTGAGTTATGGTTGCCATCTTTGGATGGACATGTGCTCCAAGTTTGCCATAGTCTCCACCACTCCCCAGTACCTTACAACTAGGCTACTTAACATTGTAAGTATTTAAATTTATGATTCCTGGTTGACATTGTCACAAGTTAATTCCTCTAAACTTAGAATCTCACCCACGAAAAGGACCTGGCTTCTAAAACTGGCTGAAGATAAATTCATTGTACAGACCTAGATACACTGCTGTAGTACCAGGTAGCCTGGATTAGAAAGTGCTGGCCCCAAAAGAATACTACTAGTAGTAGATAAATATGCTCAATACTTTATTGGGACTTAAGTGAAATTAAATTAAAACTTATTCACAAAGTTTTGAGCAATTTAATAAACATACATACACAAATAGAAGCGATTCTGAGGCCAGAATTTCCTGCCTAGTTTTGGTCCAGTTTTCCTTCCACTAACCCACAAAAATATGGATGGCCCCATATGGAAATATCCCCTCGAGTCAGGTTTTTTACCTGCATATGTATCTGGGACATAGTCTTTCACCTCTATGTAGACAAAGACAGCTGGGAGCATCAGAGGCTGGTTCCTCTCATTCCGCAGACAGATGTAGTGATAGCCTGGAAGGTGACATTAATACTGTGCATTGCATATTTTATCCACAATGTTAGTTACAACACAGGAACATCTATGTGATGGAAGTGTTTATCTTAGATGACTTTGGATGACAAACAGGTCACTTCTTTCTCATTTTAATTTGCATGGTTTTGAGTGATATTCTTTTTCTCAGCAGACAGGAAAATAATGTCAATTCTGATCATTTTCCTTCCCAATCATGTTTTTCCCCACAAAAGAGAATTTAAAACTGCATGTCATAGACTGAATTATTGGTCCAAATTCTTTTACATGATATCTTGACTTAGGGCTTAGCCATATGCTTTGCTTTGTTAATGATGTGGTGCAAACAGAGGCTTAAAATGAACTTGCAGAGTCAGGCTTGACCTTCTGCATTCCAGTGGGTTGCCACAAAAGTCCACACTGTGAGTGCCACTGTTCCTTCAGCCTGGGCCCCTGAATGAGCACATGTGGAACAGACCTAACTCCAGACCACAGCCTGAAGCTGTGGCTGAGCCCAGCCAAACCCTGTGAACCCACAGACCTGTGAGCATAGAGATAAAACACTTGTTATAAGGCATCGAGTCTTCAGATAGTTTTCTAAATCATGTTTTAATAATCACAGATGGCAGTGATGGTTTTCTTTACAACTTTGATAAATAGTTTCTCACCACACTATTCGTACCTGGCCGAATTGCCTGTACAGGCAAGATCCGGTGACCGATAAATTTACCTCCTTCTTCATAAACTGCTATCCTCAAACAGGCCAGAGAAGGAAGAACCACCTAGAGGGACATTAAGGACACTCGTGGTTACAAGAAGGTATAACTGCAAGGAAGGATTAGAAAGGTAATATTCTAACATGCCCTGTGCTTCCAAATTCACATAGAAGTTTCTACTTAACTAACTGATAAAAAGGTAAGTTGTTGCTCTATAACTTTGATTTTCAAAAGGATTACCAGTGATATGGCTTCATCTATGTCTCATCACCTTGTCCTGATGAGGAATTTGTTCATCATGTAGACCATTTACTTTAAAAAAAAAGTTTTTTAATGTTTATTTTTTTTTGAGAGACAGAGACAGAGCACGAGCAGGGGTGGGGGGTGGGCAGAGAGAGAGGGAGACACAGAATCCGAAGCAGGCTCCAGGCTCTAAGCTGTCTGCATAGAGCCCGATGCAGGTTCGAACCCACGAGCCGTGAGATCATGACCTGAGCCCAAGTCAGATGCTTAACCGACTGAGCCACCCAGGCACCCCTAGACCATTTACTTTTGACATGAACATTCTCAAGATGGAAATGATAAAGGTTTAAATATATGTTTAAATATAAAGTTAGTAGTCTTATCACTATTTGAGCATTGACTCTTACATTTTCAAAGCAAATTACTTTTATACTTTCAAAGCAAAAGCAAAAGTACAAAAGAATAGCTTTTAGGAGAGCTTTCAAAGTGAGATTGCTTTATAAATAATTCCCAAATAATCAACAAAAAATTGCTCATTTTTCCTCCTTCAATGTAAAACATGTGTCAAAAACATAGGGCTAATTGTACCCTTAAAAACTTACTTTTGGTAAGAAGAATAAAGTAACATTTATTGACTATTTTCAAAGTGCCAGATATTTTATAAATGTTTTTATTATATCAGAAAAAATTCTTATTGGGGTGCCTGGGTGGCTCAGTCAGTTAAGCATCCGACTTCGGCCCAGGTCATGATCTCACAGTTTGTGAGTTCAAGCCCCGCGTCAGACTCTGTGCTGATAGCTCAGAGCCTGGAGCCTGCTTTGGATTCTGTGTCTGCCTCTCTCTCTGCCCCTTCCCCACTAAATAAATATTTTAAAAAATTTTAAAAAAGAAAATATGTATTAATAACTCTATGAAGTAGACACTGTTATTAAATCCAATTAACATATTTAAAATAGTGGGAGCACAGAGACCTTTAACACAAAACTCTCTTTGCAGAAGATGGCCTTTGTAGATCTTTTGGCCAGTTAAAAGCAAAGGGCAAGGTAAATAGTCTATTCCACTTTTTACTGGACTACTGTCCTCCTTTGTGTGACAAGCATGTGTGAAGAAGATTTGCTTTTTGTTGAAGGCAGTGAGAAGGCCCAGTCATATAGAAAAGGTTTTAACTCTATCAGAGAGAATCCAGGCAAGATAGAATGATCAGCTACCAGAGGCTAGAGATTACATGAAGTTTAATTTTTTTAATATTAAAATTTTTTTAAATGTTTATTTTTGAGAGAGAGAGACAGAGTGTGAGCGGGGGAGTGTGAGTGTGCGAGAGAGAGGGAGACACAGAACTCGAAGCAGGCTCCATGCTCCAAGCTATCAGCACAGAGCTCGATGCAGGGCTTGGACTCGCAAACTGTGAGATCATGACCTGAGCCAGATTCGGATGCTTAACTGACCGAGTCACCCAGGCGCCCCTAATTAATATTCTTTTTTAAGAAAGTACAGACTTCCTTCTCTCTGCTACCATATTATTCCTTGCTTCCCACTTCATTTGAGTTACAATGAAAATGTATCATTTATCACTTGTATTATGAGAGGATATGAGTTAATTTATATGTTTTTCTGGTCTTCCAAATGAGGTATACTAGAATTAATTGATTCACAACACAATTCTGAAAATCCAAACAAGTGATTCACAGAGATCTTGAATAGCTTTTAAGATAGTCCCCCAAAGTGCTATTGCTTTATAAATGTGTCAATTCCCAAATGAAGCTACAAATAATTCTTCATGTAATTTTTCCCTCAGAGTGAAACACCTAGAATATGCATTTATATCTCATATCCAGGATATGTGACCAACCTTTTTGAACACAATGGGCTCTTCTTCCCAGACAGGATTTACAGCATTTCCTTGTGATGTTTTGGTCTTAAATGCCTTCCTCCTTGTGTCCACAGGCAAACCAAACATATCCACTTCCACATAGGTCCCAACTTTCTTATCAGAAAGAAACTGACCTGAAATAATCTAGAAAACAATAAAAAGGGAAGTCTTGATAAATGAATAAGTGATATAAGAGAATACTTTAGGGAGGTACAAATGCTGGTTGGTAGAATTATAACCAAAATGAAATAGAGGCAAATGTACAAATATAATTTTTCATTTGGTTAAAGAACTGGTAGAGGAACCTTGAAAATGCTGAGTTTAGAAGGAGTCAGTTAATAAGACAAAGTTGTATAGGAGGAAATAAATGAACAAATACCAAAAATTTGATGAGATTATACTTTTTGTACTTGAGATACATCTGTTAAATATTGAAGATTGATCTTCAGAGCCAACTAAATATAAAGGTTTTTCTAATACTTAAAGAGGTTACAAGAGGAAAAAAAAACCTCACCTTAGCAAAGCCACAATGATAATAAAAACAAAAACCAAATATTAACTTAAACTGTCTAGTCCAGCTTATCATCACTCCTAACCCCAACTTGTTAGCCATCCACACAATTATGGGTATCCTTGCCTAGCCACAAAATTTATGGATATTGTAGAGTTAACAGAGAGTTTAAAATCACATATTCTGGTGGCCAAGAGCTTTCTGAGCTCAAGTTTGTGAAAGAGGACAGAATTATCAAGATGATGTCAGGGCTAGAAATGGGACACAATGGTGGCCAGAGAATGGCCCTCAGCAGCTCAGCAAGGCCAGTAGCTACATGCTGATGTGGTCAGAAATTCCAAACAGGTTAGAGAGAAAAACGAGGAAGAAGCCATCTGAATTTGCCCAAGATAACTCATTTTTCCTGAATGTTCTCTTTAGCCTGAATGCGTGGGACCTGCTAGCAACATTCTCTGTTTAATTTGAGGTTCTACATGAGAACAACTTAGCAGACATTTTATATATTTGAAACTTCCAGGTTATGTGAGTCACACTGGGAAATCAGATGCACCAAGGATTCTATGTGCTTAAGATGTTCGATTAAAGCAGAGGTCCTTAGCTAAATTAACGACACTAACCCTCAATGTTCCCATCAGTAACATAGGATGGTGGAACACCTCTTGAGTTCCCAAGTCCATTCTGGCACTATGACGTCTATGTCAAAAGGTCAAAACAAAGGCGCCACTGGACGGACATGAGCCAGATCTTGGGTCTGGCTATCATGTTAAAGACAGGATGGGCTGTCCATTCCAAGGACACCAACAACTGCAACAGTGTCTCCATTCTGGACTCGGGCAACAGTTCACATCCGTTGGGGTCTCAACTGTTTTCCCTCAACTCACTTTCTATGTTATTTTTATAACTACTTACACTGTCATGGTAGAATTTAAAAAAAATAAATAAGCAAGAAAACATGCACAAAACAAGATGAATTGGAGGACAAGAACAAAATTATTAGTTTGATCCAACTACACCAACAATTGACAAGGGTTCTAAAAATAGCATTTTGTCAGTGTGTGATGCTTACGAGTTTATCTTCATCAAACTCGGCAGGAATTAAACATCCTTTGCTGAAAAGAATTTCCTAAAATAAACATAATCTCCAAGCTCTAATTCTGCCAACTCCACTCTTCAGATACATGGTGTGAAGTAATTTCAAAAGATATAATTTTGAGACACTTCATTGAAATTTTATTTTTGATGTTCAGTATCAAGTGACATAAATTTTAAAGTAAAAATGGGCTCAATAGGCTTAGGGTAGATATAAATTAGTAAAACTGTTACTTTTTTTTTTTACAAAGTTTTTCATATGCCTTTGGTTTAAGGTCAATCTGAAAATTGCATTTATGTCCAATAAAAAACATTTCTTAGTTCCACAGTTATCTAGCTAAACAAGGAAAGAAATAAAACTTTAAAGAAGTAAATGAAACAGCCACAACAACCAAGAGCTTATAGAATTCACGTATAAATCTCCTTATAAAGATGATTTTTCATTCATAGTATAAAACATTTTCTTATAGCTAAAAACATTATATCTGATATAACATCAATTTCAAAGACTGCAGAAATCATTTTGAATTTATATTTTAGGGTCTGGTATATATCTAATGAAGCAATTCTTTTACTTAGGATCATTACTATGTGTTTTAAGTCCCTGATTTTCAAAATGGTAAATTGAGAGCTTTTATTCAGCCTTTAGCAATTTACTGAGAGAATACTTTTTCTCTAATTTTTCTCAGTGTGGATAGTTTTCTAGAACTAATGGAGAAATAAAAGACCAGAAGGTTTTTTCCAACATAGGTCAATGATCTTTACACCAAAAGAAAGGACCGACCATGGAGACTCTCCAACTTGGTTTATTGATTTAGGGTCCAATTTATCCTATTAAAGAGTAGGGCTTAGTCCCTTTATCCCATGCGTGGAGCTTCTGAAACTTGTAATTTGGAGAGAATTAGTCCTTAAAAAAATGCAAGAAGGAGGTGGAGATATTGCTAGCAACTAAATTTTTGATGACTTACTTCTTTATGCAATGTGGGTAATGTTCAAGACTTTTGCTGGTGACAGTTTTGTAATAGAGAGGTACATACCTTCACAGATAAAGTGTTGGCCACTATCCCATCTACGATGCCTTCGGTGAATGGATCAAAGTGCTTGTCGGGTCTCCTCATGAACTCTGGCTTTAATCTGTAGCCACTTTTCCCATTGTATTCATACATCCCCATATTTATTTGCATAGCCAGGTCTGAATATCAAAAACACAAACCTTATTGTGATGATATTCATGTTTAGAGCAAGAAAGTAAGATTGTATTATAGTCCATTTTTACTACCCTTTTTAAAAAGAAATATTTCTTCATTTGTAGAAACTTAGGAAACACAGAGAAGAAAAAAAATCTAGCTGTACTCCAAATCTAGAGATGAACAACTGCCAACTGGTTGGTGTATATTCTGTTTTTCTCTTCTAATATGTTGTGAATGTGTAATATGTCCATTTCACTAAATATTTGTCTGCTTTACTTTTAACAGCTGTGCAAACTTTTTTTGAATAGATTCATTTGCTAAATCATTTTAAAATCTTTGAATCCATCATTAATGGCAGTCTTAGGAGTGAAATTTCTAGGTCAAAAGATGTGTTGTAGGAAAATGATGTGTACTTTTTGATGTCCTGCCAAGATGTCCTTCAGAAAGCTCATGCCACTTTACGCCTCTAATCCATGCTTTTGAGCATGGACTTCCCTGCACCTCACCAAAAAGGAAAAAATTCTTTTTTTTTTTT